CTGGATTCTGTTTTCTCTCTGAAGGGTATTGATTCTTGTTCTGGTAGGGAGTTCAATTACTGGCTAATAAAACCTTTAAATTGTGTAGGTTTGATTTTATGCTTTGATATGGAAGATATGTGGAAACCTAAGACATTTCCCAAGCTCTCCAACTTGGCAGAATACAACCTCCAATATCTATCTCCCCTGAAGATTTTGTCAGGGTTTGGTTTTAGGCTTTGTTAGGGTGAATGTAGAGCAGAGGTGTCCAACTGGAGATGATTTTCTCTCCAGTGACATTTGGTAATATCTGAAGATGTTCTGGGTTGTCAAAATAGAGAATAAATGGGGAGCTATTAGCATTTAGTAGGTAGAGGCCAGGAATGATGTTAAACACCCCACAACACACAAAATATATCTACACAACAAAAATTACCTGGCCCACAATATCAATAGTGCCAAGACTGAAAAAGTCTTTTCTAACTTAGGCCTTACTTGAAGGTATAGTCCTTACTTCTGCCTGCAGGATTAACAAGGTATTAATGAGGACCTCTAGTGACTTTAATCACTACTTGATGTCTAATATCTCTGGTAAGTTCCTTTCTGGGTGAGGTGACTAATACAGTCATGTTCTGAAGATACTATTTCTGACAAGAGGATTTGTAACATCACATTGCAAGGAAAGGAGCAGAATTTGTGGCCATTTTACAACATAGCCACCTCTGCTTTTAATGCTAATAATTTTTAGTTCATATCAGTTTTTCAATGTAAATATTTACTTTTTTATTCATTGAGCTTGTGTGGAATTGCTAAAAGTCTATTTTTATTATGTGTATTTGATGTTTGTAAGTGACTTTGTTGAATATCAGATTCTTAAATTCAAAAGACAGCTTAATCTGATGATTTAAAAAGGTATACATACTAGCCATATGCCTGAAAAATTACCTATATGATTAGGAATTAATTTATGTATATGGATGTGAATATTTCTGTTAGCATGAAAACATGATCTTTTGCATTACATTTCAATAACATCTTTATATTTTCATCCATACTATTGATCTCTTAATAGGGGAATTTAAAAACAGCACCTTGTAATCCAGGAGCCAATATATAAACAGTGAATATAGTGTAAGACTGAAGACATAAACATCTAACCTTCCCAAAGGAGCTTTATGATGAGATACATCACCTACTGGAATCAGAGTATATCAGGGCCCATTATAAGTATGTTTTTTCTCAAGCTCCACATGGCCTTGTTGTTTTATACCTCAGAGCCTGCTCTACCCTGCTGCCTATGACCCATATGTCAGTCTTTCCTCCCTCCTAAGACAAAATTCCAGGGCTCAACTCAGATTAAGTAATACAAGATACTGCTTTCCTCAATGCATTACCCTTCTAACCCATGAAGTGGGTTTTCTTTCTCTCTCCCACTCTCCATTATCACAATGTAATACATAATTAAAACTGTTATCCTCACTCTAAAAATTGTACTTCCTTACTTGGTTTGGAATCTTCTACCCTACCTAGTAAAACACAAGTGTTGTAGTAAATTAGAAAATCAAGACATTCTGATATGAATACATAAAGAATAACAATATAAATCAGTGAAATATTTGGCATAAACGATATGAAAGGTATGACTAAATACTAATTTATTCGTTGCATTAATTTGACTTTTGTGTCTTTACTGTGGTGTTTTTCCCTTTTCTGAGTAGACAACAGAATTATATATCACTTGACTTTCCATGGGTATTCAATATTGTTGCTTTTTGTTTTGCTTGCAAATGCAGGGAAAATAAAGTCAATTAGGTTCTCATTTGCTTTGTTCATTGGCAGACAAAAATAGCATTCAGTTTCTATTTGATGATTAGAACAATGGCCAAGTCTAGAAATATGGATGGTAAGTTGAATATTCATAATCTAAAACTCAACAAAAAAGAATTAGCTATATGAAAAATATACATAAATATCATAAAAGTAATCTTTGAAACCAAGTGAACATATAACAAAACTATTTTGAAAAAACAATATTCTCTTGGTATTTGTCATTTTCATGCCTATCCCATTAGGTAGCTGCAAAAGAACCTCTTTAATGATCAAGAGCAATATGTTATTCTTTTTTTTTTTTTAAGATTTATTTATTTATTTACAGT